GTTTAGAGGCCCCACAAGTGTCACCATGCCCCCCCCCCATTTATTTCCCCAGGACCATTTCCACAGCAGTTGGAGTGCTTTATATGACCTATGTCTGGTGTAGCAGTTTGGAAGAAAGCAGGTTGCATTTTATGATGTCATAGAGTTCTATTTGTGTACCGGCATATCAGTGCGTATAAAAGGTTGTTACCGTGTAAAGCTTTCAATGTTATTTTTTCAGCTTCTTTTTTTTATTTTTATTATTCTGGATGTACGTGATGCTTGGCCGTCCCTCCACGCCATCCAAACAATAGCGTTGTCGGTGTATAGCTTCGATGGAATGTGCACTACTGCGTAATAAATCTATTGCTGTTTGACTGTTGGCCAGACACAGTTTTTAATTGCCGTCCGCGCTGACAATTTCAATTGAATAAAAGGAAATCTCCGAGACACGGTTGTTATTTATGGCTTTGTGTGATATTGACCTTTTTATTTCCAGATCTTGGAGCTGAACTCCGGGCACAAACTATTATTTAATAATATTCTTCAGTAGGCTCAAAGGATATAAATTGTGTGCACCACACCCAGATATTACCATATAATGGTAGCAGTGACATTATCACTGTGCTGTACATTGCCTGTGCAGAGAGGAGAGCTGTGGGAGAGAACCAGCAGACCACACCCACTACAGGAAACTACAGGAGGGGGTTGAGACAAGACCAGTCACCCTGCACAAGGAGAGAAAGCAGCAGTGACCGGTCTTTATTACAGGAGGAGGCAGAGACAAGACCAGTCACCCTGCACAAGGAGAGAGAGCAGCAGTGAGCGATCTTTATTAGAGGAGGGGTGGAGACAAGACCAGTCACCCTGCACAAGGAGAGAGAGCAGTGAGTGTTTTTTATTACAGGAGGGGGCGGAGACAGGACCAGTCACCCTGTACAAGGACAGAGAGCAGCAGTGAGCAGTCTTTATTACAGGAGGGGGTGAAGACAAGACCAGCACCCTGCACAAGGAGAGAGAGAGAGAGAGCAGCAGTGAGGGGGCGGAGACAAGACCAGTCACCCCGCACAAGGAGAGAGAGCAGCAGTGACCGGTCTTTCTTAGGGTGCCCACACACCTTACGATAATCGTACCATATTAGTGGGAAATCCCGCGATCGTACGATTATCGTAAGGTGTGTGGAAGCTGTGCGACTTCTACTACTGTAAGGTCGCACGACTTTAAACTTACGAACATGCTCAAAAACCCGCCGAGCATCGTACGATGTTCGGCGGGTGTGTAGCATGTTCGGAAGATAAAAGCCGGACGGGCCGGTGCGCACACTGCCCGTTCTGCATTGCGGTCATCGGAAGCCCACCCCTCAGGGGGGCGCGGCTTGCGATCATCGCAAGTACGATCTGCCTGTCTAGATGGTTCAGATCATACATTTTTTTAAGTACCATACAACCATCGCAAGACAAAAGTATTGCGATGGTTGTAAGGTGTGTGCCCAGCATTATAGGAAGTACCAAGTTTTGGACAGATCTGGAAGAAATACACACATGACTCTCCTATGAGGACAATATCTGCTGAGTTCAGCTGTAACCCAACAAAGTGTTCCTGGTCCTTAGAGGAGATGCCTGAAAGTCTCCGTAGAGAAGTTTCCAAGTTAAAACCTTGGCTCCTCTAATATGCAATGTTATGTGGCCGGGTATGTCATGCTTTGACCTGCATCCTGCCCCCATCCCTTCTTAATGCCCAGTGGCCACAAATTCCCCTCTGGCCAATAGGCAAGCTCAGGAGTAGGCCAATGCATGACTATGCCAGCTCTTGTCACTATTTCCATAGTAGAGCATCCTGGATTTGGGAGGCTCTTGTGGCTCTGGAAGTAATCAGCAGAAGAAGACTTGGGAACCTTTATCGCCCAGTAAGCCGGGCCCACAGATACAATTTAAAGGATTTTTTTTTTTTTTAGAGGTACTCAGGAAAGTATTCCCATCAGTGAGTGCTGACACTTTAAAATGTACTTTTATAAAAGCAAACCCTGCAACCTGCTTCATGGTGCTCTAAAGAACTCTGTCACAATGCAAGTCTACCAGTCAGGTTTGACCGATGGCAAGCTATGCACCCTCCATGTGGCTTGGATTTTACCTCAGCAGTTGGCTGATCATGGAGGCTAATAAATTTGGGATCTGTACCCACTTCCAAATCTCTGACATCATCACGCCAGCCTCGGCTCAGAGTACTGCAGCACTGAATGGTGCCCACATATAAATACATGAGTGCCATT